TTGAATGAATAAATATCTTGCAGGGTTACATAGTACGCTAAATGATATAATTCATTAAATTTGTTATATATAATTGATCAAGCTAAGGTTAACTGTTGATATAATTTGGTTATCTGCAACCATAATTATTGAAAACAAATTGACTAATAATCAAATTAATAAGATAGAAATCTCAACAAGTTCCTTGGTCTCATTATATGATCATGGACAATCCCTTTCTCATGAGCTAGCTTTAGCTTTAGGTCATAGCTCAACTCGCAATCAATTCTGACTTGATCATGAACAAACATACGCGGGATTTTTGTCTCCCCTGCTTCTGTGTCATCGAAATAGAGAAGCATTTGATCAAATATGAGTTACAACAACAAGAAATTCACAATATGAATAAGAAACGGAATGAAACAGAGTTATACCTGTTGTGCCGTAATTGTCCTATCTTTAGAAAAATCACTTTTTTGAAATGTTCCAAGTATAAAACAATTCAAAAAAATACTTAGAAAAGAGTCGCCACTTAATTTTTTAAAGAAATTAAGAAAACTTATAATTTTCAAAGATTTAAACAGAAAAAATCATTTGAAAATACCAAAGAAGGTTCGGGGTTCAATTTACACTTCGAGAAGGGTTTAAGCATTCGAAGTGTCCGCTAACATGCGATTGACCTGCGACTTAACTAAAATGTATTTGACTATTTTTAGAAAAAATAATTTAACATAAAAATATATAATAATTTACACTATTCGGCTAAGTTTAAAAAATAGCTAAGAAATGAACCATTTTATTTTGATCTTTTTAGAAGAAGAGGCCTAAAATGAAAATATTTGAATTAAGGTGCAAGTGATTAGAAAATTAATAAAACGACTAATTAGAATTTATTTAGTTCATTTCAGAATAAATTAAACCAATTTAATAAATTAAAGTATGAAAAATCATTTTGAATTAATTGACTAACCTTTTTGAGAAAATAGCCAAGTAAGTATTTATTTATTTATTTACACTATTAGATTAACTTTGAGAAAATAGTTAAACAAAGAGCGATTTTATTTTTTAAGAAAAATGAGACCTTAATTGAAATATTTGATTTAGAGACAAGTAATAAGAATTTTAACGAAACTAAATTAGTTGATTTTCATTTTTGAGTCATTTTTGGTTTATGAAAAACTATTTTAAACTAATAAAATAAAAGAAAAAAAAAAGTTTTGACTAAAGATTATAAATGACAATACAAAAGTTGATAAAATAAGATTTGTTAGAAACAAAACAACACAGATAAACAGTTCGTCTTTTGGGGAATTCAACTAAGTTAATTAAAAATTCTAAAGTTAGAGTTAAACAACAAATAATAAGTAATCACAATTAAATAATTAAAGAGTAAGGAATAAATTGAATTCGGCCCCCTTTTGGGCCAATTTCGCTGAAATTTTTGCGTTCAAACCAATCCCGTTTTTGTATACAGCTGGTGTATATCAGTGTATATTAGCATATGCATAGGCTCTTTTCATGTATCTCTTGCTTCCGAACACCTATACTTCACCTTAGCCCTGTATTTTTGCGTTTTTGACCTGTATTTGTTATACTAAACCTGTATATCAGGTTATAATGTTGTATACAACATGTATACTGCCTACTTTCAGACTTTCAAGATCTGGGATTTTAGTTTCCAACCATGTTTGCTACTTTCAATCTGTCCATCATTTTCTCCACTTGACTCGAGAGGAAGAAAGATGAATTTAGGCCTTTATGGCCTACTTCGAAATGCAATGGAGGAGGGAAAGGAGTCCACAATGGACTCAGCGGGAATTCACATACAACAACGGAAAAGAGGAAATATATTAGTATGAATTCAAATTCCGATGACATGAGAAAATAACACATTTAAACTTCCATTATAATCGACATGCACCAAGACAAGCTATACTAAGTAGGAATCCAGATGACTTTGCTGAAGTGAACTCAAACAGAGGAGAGATTGACTGCACTATGCAACACATACTCGTCTAAATGCAACCTCATAACAGCAACAAACTATACTAAAGTTTAATTCATGAATTCATACTTTAAACACCGACGAGAAATGCATTTAGCATACAAAAAAAATAAATCAACCCAAGTATTCTGGGACTCCTTTTCTATATATATTATAAGAACAGACCACAAACACAACAAAATTAAATTGCTAGCTAATTTACAATCGGTAGCTTAAGTAATTTGGAAGGAAACACTCTAATACCTTTTGCACCCTTAAAACAACATTTATGAACAAATATAGCAGGTGGTATTTAACCCAAAATAAAAAAAAAAATCTACAGAAATGAGAGGTGCAAACAAATGTGACAAATGAGGGAGCAGACATGATTTAAAATTGGAGCAAAAATAAATTAGATGCCAATTATTCAAATAGCATCCCACTGTTGATTCTAACTCCCTCTTTTTTTAGAACAAAGTGGCCACACCTATTTTCTCAAGAAGCTACAAACAACAAGCATGAAAATTGACACAATAGCAAGGCAAAATTTTCGAAATAAGAGTCACAGAGAACCCAAGACAAATTATATCAAGTTATAAGATGCGAGATGGAATGAATAGCAACACGGTATTAAGGAAATCCAGAGCTAAACTAGTACTCTATTAAGGTGACAACCATATCACTTCAAATCGAAAAAATGACAGGAACAATATCAGTAGTATAAAGCCATGCTCATGCTGACAAGAGAACTCCTTCAAGTTAATGACATAACCATCAGCTAACCAGAAGGATTGGACGAATCTAAGCAACATGTAATCGTCAAGTACGAAACAGGTCTAATAATATCATACTACAAAATGATCCCAAAACAAACGAGCCACAATAATGTGAACTAAAACTACCAATCTATACTCAAAAACACACAAGGAAAATAACGAAATGACTTCTATGACACTTAGGGACGCATAGTAAAAAATGAGAATATTATTTCAGCAAGCAGGGATAGTATAGAGGCATGGTGGTTGACAAGTGAACAAACCAAACTTAAAACGAGCATATCAGCCGCGACATCGAGAGGAAACAAAAACAACAATACAAGTTCAAACGAGCATTAAGCCATCTTGAAAACGAAAACAAACAACAACCACAGATTATCAAACAAACTCTACCACTGATTTGCAGCCAACAATGAGTTAAAAGCTTCCAAAAATCTAAACATTTCGAAAGCTCTATGCAGCCCATGATCAAACATTCATCATATTAAAATAAAAGAGACATAAACCAGAATGAGTATCACTCAATTTAATGAGAAGAAACTAACACGAAGTAAATAATCTTAGCTTAGAAAGGGGTCATCAAGTTTCAAACAACAAAAAAGAAGAAGAACCGAAATCAAAATAACTAAACTAAGCGAGTGATCAGACCATCCATATTACCGATTTACAGCCAACATTCAGCCATAATGCGCCCCAAATCATAACATTTGAACACTTACTCAATCGAGAATCAAGTAATCAACACATTAAGGATAAAGAGACATGGGTTGAAATTAGATATTACCTTTTGAGAGGCAGAGAACTGGGAAAGACGAGCTTTGAATAACGACGAGCTTCCGCCACCACACGACACTTCGAGAAATCCAGCAAACCACGAACAAGGCCCAAAAAAAAAAAAAAAAAATCAAGAAATTGTATTTTAGGTGTATCTTTTATGTAACTTCCTGTAGCTTTGAAAAAATCTTTTCCGGTAGATTCTTGCCCTCAAAATCCAACTTCAAAAACACTTTTTTTTTTCCCCTCTACACCGATGGGTAAGGGATGGTTATATAGAGGAATTAAGGGGTCAATTTAGGAAGGAAAACAGGTGAGGAATTGAATTTGAAATCCGAATTCCCTTTTTCCAAGGCCATCAGTGAAGAGATTTGGAAATCTTTGAAAAGGGGAAAAAGGGGACGTAGGGTTTGACATTGAGGCTACTAGGGTATGAGTTCTGCAGGGTAGTTGGATGGGATTTTTGCAGCGTGATTTCTGGGTTTGTTCTGCTTGCTGCGTCGGTTGTCACGTGAAGAAGAAGAAGACGAGCTGGGGTTATTTGGGTTGGGTCGCGTACTGCTGATGGAGTTGTTGTACGTATTGTTGTTGAAAATGGGATGTATGTATTGTAATTGGTTTCTTTTGGTGGGCTGGACTGCTTTGTAATGTCATTTGGGTATTTTTGTTATTGTTAGTGGGCTGGGATTATTGAAGAATTGCAGAATGTGTGGGCTGCTGGAAAATAGGCCCAAAACTGGTTTGTCCCAAATGGGTTTGGGGTGAGGAAATTAATGGCTAAAGTTGCAAATAAAAGGTTAGGCAAATAAATTAACAATCTAGCCAAATTGAATTTAATCGGTGAATTTGATTAAAATTTAAACAAGATGAGTTAATATAAATTAATCAATGAGCTTCTTAATCTCAACGAAAATAATAAAAAAAATAATGCACTTAATTATAAACTAATTAATTCAAATACAAAACTAATTAACTCGAAATTATAGCTATAACTTAAAGCAAATTAATAAAATATTTAACTAAAATGTAAAATCTTTTGTGATAATTTTCAAATATTTATAAAATAGCGTGATTGCAAAAATATACATACTTATTATTAAAAAGTGATAAAATTATTTTAAAAAAATAACTTGAAAGTATTTTGGATTTCATAAAATTTATTAACTCAAAACTATAACCATCCCTAATATTTAAAATATAATAATTATTATTATTATTATTTTTTGACGATTTTCGAATAATCATAAAATATACTAATTATATACATAATTATGTAAAACATGTACATCATCTAAAATTTATGAAAAGTGACAAAACTATTACAAAAAATCTTGCAAACTATATTATTATTTTTTGGAAACTTTATAAAACTAATTATTTTAAATCATTTGAAATTGGAGAAGCTCGAAATGATTAATTTATATTGTGGAGGGTCAAAAGTGGGTGTCAACAATACCTCTGTAACGTGTGATTTGTCCCAACAGTGCTTAGCTTTTTTTCTTTATAATGAGGTCTATACGATCACATCCTTCAATCGCTTCAACTTCTTCCTTAATTTTCATAGCTGAAGCCTCGAGAAATTTGTTGTTGCACCTAATCAACTTAATTTGTTTCAGTGTTGGAATATCCGCGAAGCTAAGAGGGATCTCCTTGGGCTGCTTAGAGTCTTTTATAACAAGTGTTTCAAGCAATGGAAAAGATTCCTCTGAGGCATCCCACGTTGAGACACGTAACTTCACCAGTTTCAAGACCTTAAGTTTATGGAACGTGATATGTCTAAGGCACAACTCATTTGATTTATAACAACTATATGGATCCACTCTTAATTGGAGATACTCAAGATTTGGAAGTTCTGCAATGACGGAAATCGTGCTTTCTATATAGAAGCTAAATAAAGAAGTTCCTCTTAGTACCAACTTCTTTAAATTTGAAGGCAACTGCAACCCGGATAGTAGTATAGACCATTGAAAGGAAACACGAAGTATTTGAAGCTCGGTAAGACTTTCCAGTTTGAGACAAATATCCGGAGAATCAACCCAAGAAGTATCTACACTAATAGATTTGTCGCCTTTAAACGTGATGTCAAGTTCTTGAAGATTAGGACACCTACATAATAACACATCCGCGCTATCACCTTGATCAAATGGAAACTCAACTCCCCTTAATATCCTCAAATTTTCCAATTTAGAGGATTCTTCAAAGATCCGTTGCTTATTGTTTTCGAATTCATCTGTGCCAATCTCAACATGCCTTAGTTTTTCTATTTTCCAAAAACTCGATGGTAACACTGTAAACTTGGATAAACCCCTCACAAGTAAAGTTTCCAGATGGGGCAGATGTGATTCTGGATGACAATAGAATTCATTTGTGGAAACTGCGAGGTACTTCAGGTGAATTAGTGGTTTCAATGTAGCTGACGAAAAATGAGGCATTCGATGAGAACTCAAATCCAAGACCTTAAGAAGTCCCACTTTAAAAACATGAGTACCAATTACTGATCCATTTGTCGTTATCAACGACCTCAAGTGTTGGTGAAAAGGCTCCCGTGTTTTGGTGCTCGGAGATACAAACTTGGAAAGCTCATTACTGAAACTAACGCTCACTCGACTTTCCTTCCATTCAAAAGGTTGAAGCTGGCTATAATGTCCCTTCACTGCCCGCATAAAATTTTCTTCTCTACTCTTCTCCAAGCAAAAGTGAAGCACTACATCATGAACCTCGCAAACTTTGACTTTACCATTGTATCTTCTCCTAGAAACCATTACCACGTTACTGCTAATGAGATCCGTCAAGTAACCTTCAGCAGATTCAATGTTCTGCACGAACCCTTCCGCCATCCATAGACTTATCAATTTAGACATTGGAATTCTTGCATCTTCCGGAAACATCCCCATGTAAAGAAGACAAGGCCTTAAAAAATCCGGTAAGTTATCATAACTTAACTGCATAGTCGAAAGACCATGTCCTTCAGCTTCACCAAGATAGGAAAGCAGAGAATTTTTAACCTCATGCCACCAAGAGGCTTCCATCTTATTCCTTTTGATAATTCCAGCTAATAAGATAATCACCAGAGGCAATCCTTTGCATTTTTCTGCGATTGCTTGACTCACATCTTGTAGTTTACGTGGACAGTCTTCCTTTTCGAAAACACTTCTCTGCAACAATTTGCAGCTGTCATCTGGTGTGAGGAACGGAAGGAAATAAAGATCAGTATAACGCTTGACATGTTCACCGACTTTCTCAAGTCGAGTTGTTACTACAATTCTGCTTCTATTTTCGACATCAGGGAAACAAAGACATAAGTCATCCCATACCGTACCGTCCCACATATCATCCAATAAAATGAGATATCTCTTTCCCATTAGGCTTTTCCTCAACTTGTCCGCGAGGATGTCATCCTTATCTCCATTGTCCTTGGAACCGGTAACTTGACTGAAAATATCTTGTAATATCTCTCTCCGGTGATATGTTTGGGAAATGATGCACCATGCTTGAACATCGAAGCGAGAAACAATGTAGTCAGTATTATACAACTTTCTAGCACAAGTTGTTTTACCTTGTCCCCCCATCCCAACAATAATACAGCCAGGGCAAGCATGGAATTTTGCAATAATAAGAAAGAAGATGTTATGTTATACATAATTCGAGCAGAAAGAAATGATTCAGCGGAATTCACACACTCGCCTAAGATACATTGCTGAGGATAGTCTACATGAATCTATAGATAATTCTTAGGAATAAGGCAAAGGTCATTTTTCTTATGCATGGTAATTCCAGGCTTAACATTTGTGTCAATATCCTCTTTTTTCATCCCACAAGGTAACTCCCAATCAAACGCGTAAAGAAGATTTGATAATGCAAGTTCCATTGATGCAACTCCAAGTGCAATCCCCGGACATCCTCTTCTTCCTGCTCCAAATGGAATTAACTCAAAGTCTTGTCCCTTGAAATCGATGTCACTATTCAAGAATCTCTCGGGTATAAATTCTTCTGGATTTTCCCATATTTCAGGATCTCGTGCAATAGCCCATGCATTAACATGAATTATAGTTCCTGGTTGAATTTCATACCCTTCTAGTATGGATTTTTCCATTGATTCTCTTGGCAGTAGGAGTGGAACTGATGGATACAATCTAAATGACTCTTTTATCACTGCTTTGAAATAGGGAAGATTTTGGATATCGTCTTCATTCAATATATCGCGTTTCTTTTTGAATGATTTTCTCATTTCTTCTTGAACTTTTTTCATAGCTTTTGGATTCTTCATCAAGGCTGTCATTGTCCATATTACTGCAGCGGCACTAGTGTCTGATCCTGCAAGTAACACATTCTACAAAGAAAAAAATAATTAGAAATATCAATTCATGAGGAAGTTTCAAGCTGGGAATGTGAACCGCATGTGTGCTACCTACCCATCAACATATATATATATATAGAGAAAGCGCACGTGTGTTCCATGTGATTTTTTATAGATATGTTAGAATGACTAAAATTTTATGGAAATATATATGTAAAGAGAAGGTAATGAGTAATATAAGACAACAATTATAAATAAATCTTTAATAATATAAACAAAAAAACCGCCAAATGAAGGGCATATTTTGATGTTTCAAATTAAATTTGTTTTAAGCAACCAACTGTAACTTTTGAACTTTGGTTAATAGTAGCAAACTTTCAATTAAGTCACAAATGGCTAATTTGAGCTCAAATAAGAATATAGACTTACGGCAATAAAGCATTCATAGAAAACTAAATTAAGAAGTCTAATAGAGAAAAAACACACAAAAATAGAGAAGGAAAAAAAATACAATGTATACATACTTCTTAAGACTTTGATCGTAATAATATAGATGGAAAAACAAACACAAAATTAGTACATAATTTTCCGAGTTCTTATCGACTCTTTCTCCCATATCCTATCAAAATTCAAGAGTCTGCTTCATATACTTTAACTACTTCAACTATAGAATAAAAATGATAGCCTTGGTAGGAGTTTCATGAAATAAAAAAGTTGAATTTATATAGACAGAATTGAAGGAATACCAAAAGATATCATAAAGTTTTAAATTAAATATTTAGAGGTTATGGATATGAAAAGATGAGAGTTATGGATATCAAAAGTATAAAAATTGAATAAGTAATTAGATATGAGGTATGAATATGAATATCTAAACCAATAATGTGTGTCTCTCCATTTTGTGGATTTGCACCATTTTAAATTATTAAATTTCTTTATTTATCTTAAAGGATAATACTTTAATTATCCACATAAATTATATTATTTATGACCGGTTCGAGCCCCAGCAGGGCCACTGGAGGCATTACAAACCGGCCGCGTCTCCAGGGCCCCGTGGAACTAACCGTGGTGGACCCGCCTTGAAATAGCGGGACCCGGTGGGTACAGCTAGTCGGGTTCGCAAAGCGACGCCCGGAAACCACGGTTAAAAAAAAAAAAAAAAAATTATTTATGAGAACAGTTATGAAACGGTTATGAGAAGAAAAGTTGACTAATTTAAGTAGAGATTTTTGGATTTTTAATTTATTATTATATACATATAGATTAGAGATTATAAATATTATTAAATTAGATATTTTAATTAGGAATTAATCTAAGGAAGTACAAAAGTCATTAACATGTTAATTAAAATTATACAATTTAATATTTAAATTTAATAGTTAAATGTTTTATAACATTTTAATTTATAATAGAAATAAAATTGTAATTCAATTTTTAACTTTTTTTGTTCCCACTTATAGTAATACTAGTCCTTGGACACGTGCAAAAGTGTATTCCATACAATTTTAAACTACACAAACACACACAGTCAAATGTGAACCTGTGTGCTCCAAACATAGTCCATGTCCACACTTCAAAGTTCAAATATGCAAAGAATTTCACGGATCAATTACTTCTATCTGAATTTGAGTTTTATTACAACATAAGCTTTTCAGAAATACATATTATACTAAAAGAAGTGAATATGCCGCTAGCTTAGCAATAATACAAAAAGTGGTAAATATATGTAGCTAAATCAATTGGAATAAATTTACCTGAAGTAGACTCTTCTTGGAGGAGAAATCTAACCGAAAGAAGGCAAATGGAATAATGGGACAAACACACCTTATGATGCACTTTATAGAGTATTTTAAAGAATATGAAAAGATTGACCAGACTAAATATCATGGAGAAGATAAACTACACATATGTACAACCAATAAAAATCAAGAAATTTAATATTTATATAAATGAAGAATGTAAAAAGACTCTATGGAAGATGAAAGAAAGAAAATTTAACGAGTGAAATAATTTAGGGAACCAGACCATAATTAATTGTTGTTACACAATGCCTTCCTCACCCTCACCAAACGTTTTTGTTCCTCTAAACATGTAGTGAAGGAGAAGGTGAAAGAGATAAATAAAATTATGGCAGTAAACATTTTCAGAAAGCATTAATATAGTATTTGGATTCATTGAATTTGAGGAGCTAATGAATTTTGTTATATTTTCTTATGTAAACAAAAGTTATTTAAATGAAGATTTTTTTTTACTCCAAGGATAAAATTGTAAACTAACTTTTGATTCATTACTATTATGAATATTACTTATTATTTATGAATAATAACTCAACTTTATAGGGTTATTTTGGTATTTCAACTTTTAACTTTTTTTTCATCCATTTTTAGTGAAATAATTAATAATTAATAATTAATAATGATATTATTGTAGTAACTCAACTTTATAGGATTCTTTTGGTATTTCAGCTTTTAAGTTTTTTTGTTCCCACTTTCAATATATATATTATAAGATAATTTAATTTTATCAACTATACAGAAGAAAATCAAAAGTACAACTATTGCAAGCTTCCATAGTAAGTATTTATTGAAGCAATTACTTAGCATTTGATATAATGTTAATTTACCAAGTATATAATTCATCATTAGTTTGTGCTAATTATAACAGAAGAAAATCAAAAGTACAACTATTGCAAGCTTCCATAGTAAGTATTTATTGAAGCAATTACTTAGCATTTGATATAATGTTAATTTACCAAGTATATAATTCATCATTAGTTTGTGCTAATTATAATAGAAGAAAATCAAAAGTACAACTATTGCAAGCTTCCATAGTAAGTATTTATTGAAGCAATTACTTAGCATTTAATATAATGTTATGAATATAATTCATCTGAAAAATTTTATACCTTTGCACGGTAGGAGTAACTGAGGTACACTTAAGGGTCATTTTAACTGTTGCAAAACTTTTGATTTCCTTTTGTCATTTAATATAGGATATCATCCAATTGTACAAATATTCATTATATCTATATTAATTCATGTCATAGATTGTGAGTTCTCCATTTTTAGAATATTAATATTATTATTATAAATATATTATGATATTTATTATAATTAATGTGTATTTATATTTTTGTTCATAAATATGTAATAATAGTGTTTAATAGATAATACAATAGTTTTTATTTATTTTTAATGTATATTTACATTTTTGTCGATAAAGATTATGATATTATAAGGACAATTTTGTAATTCAACTTTTGACATAGAGACTTTCCACTTATAATATATATATATATATTTCTCAATTCCGTCCTAGATTATTTATTGCGCTCCTTTAGTCTCGATGCATTATTATTTGATTTCAAAAAAGAAAAATATATAAGTGCTTCTATCACTAAAATAATATATAGTAAAATTTCTATATTTCTATTGGCATATAAATCTCTAACAGGACTAAAAGATTTTAACAAACATTATGCCTAGAATCCAACATATTAGCATCATTAAAATTCTAATTGTGTGGCCTTGCTGACAAATGTGGGTTCCATGTTTGGATAAAAGATAAGGTTTAGTATAGGTTGACAGCCGGTGTAAAACTAAAACTCCAATTGTGTGACCTTGCCGACAAATGTGGCTCCCATGTTTGGATAAAGGATGAGGTTCACTATAGGTCGACAACTAGTGTAAAACTAATAAACCTATGATAAATCATAAATATATATATATATATATATATATATATATATATATATATAACTAAGAAGATTACCATGACAATTGCTTTTATGTCCTCCAAAGTGAGATCAATTGGTGTTAATTTATCTTTCTTCAATTGGAGCAAAAGATCAAGAATGTCCCCTTCCATGGATTTTGGCCTATTGGGATCAACATGCTTCTCAACGAGTTCTTCATAAAACTCATCCAAATCCTTGAAATTCTTCTCAAGTCTATTTGTCAATCCAGCGAGTTTATCAATCCAACCTAAATAAGAAAAAAAGTCAGAAACATAAAAGCTAGTCAACATTGTTGCAGATTCTTCTAAAAGTTCATCAAATCTCCTCTTTTCATGTGCTTCTTCATCAAATCTAATACCAAAAGCAACTCTACAAATAATTGTAGTACTTAGTGAAATCATTAAATTGCTCAAATTAGTTATTTGCGAAACACTAGCTTGTTGAGATATTTTCTTGATCATTCTCGAGACTTCATCTTCGCGAATTGGACTAAATAATTTCACTTTCTTGTGACTAAATAGATGAATAACACTTATTTTTCTCATTTCTCTCCAACAATCGTTGTAGCGTTGAAAGACTATGTCACGACCATTGTAAGATAATTTTTGTTGGCCAAGATGAGAAGGTCTACTACAAAATACTAGATCTTGTGTTTTCAACACTTCTTTTACTAATTTTGCTGAAGAAACTACAACTATTGGAGTAGAACCAAGTTTTAATGAGAATATTTTTCCATATTTCTTGGAAAGTTTCCAAAAATAGATATGAGGGGTTAAACTATCAAATTGATGCAAATTTCCAATGAATGGGAGGCCTTTAGGACCTGGTGGTACATTGTTTTTGTCACACTTTTTGGCTTTTGGAAGAAGAAAAATAAGAATGATAGGAAAAGCTACAAAGAGTAGAAAGAGCATCATTTTTGTTTTAAACTCCTAGGTAGTCACTTGTTGTATCTTTATATAAAGATATCATGTGTTAAAGTCCTGTCGGGATAAGTTATTCCACGATAAGTCATTCTGGAATAAGTTATTTTATCATGTATCTAAGAGATAATTTATCCAATCACTATGGCAAAAATGGTGGGATAAATAATCCAAGGACTACCGAATACCTCTAACCAAACATGTGATGAAATAATCCTACATTTTATCTGAATTATTATACTTTTTACTTCATACCGAACGACTCTTAAGAGTATGATTTACCTACACTAACAATAAGACATTTTGGTACATTTGATAGATCTTTAATTTAAGATCACAAAATTTAAAAGTTTTCTTTAGTTTATTTTCTTAAACTACATGTCAAGTCAAAACAGACCACTCAATTTAAAATGAAGGGAGTAGTAACTAACCATAACAAGTGGTACTAGTTACTTAGAAAATAATACTTAGATAGTTTGGCGAATAACTTTTGAAGAGTAACCGTTCATGTTTTACTAATAAATTTTAAAAGTAGTTTTATTAATAATTGGTTCTTTGTGTATGATGAACCATATAATCTATATATTTATATAAAGGAGAAACATAGAGAAGGTGATGTGGCACCTCTCTATGGCCTCCATTTGTATTTGTCTTTTTTCTCAATTTTTTGGCATTTTTTTCTTTTTAAATTAATTATTGTATTATAAAATCAAATTACTTAATTTATTAAAAATAAATATTTTATTAATAGAGTAACATTTATACCAAAGACTCTTCACATTCTTTTTTTCTTTGTTAGCCTCACTTCTAATCATAAATCATAAAATATTTTAATATTTTAAGTGTTTTTCTCTTTATTATTTAATTTATTTACAAGGAGTAATTACCCATGACCTACTCCTCTTTAATTTTTATTTTTAATAATATTCAAGACTCATAATTTTCATGTCCATAACCTCCAAATATTAATTTGTAAGTTTATGATGTCTTATGGTATTCCTATATTTTGCCTATATAAACTCATATTTAGTTTATGGAAATTCACATTCAAGATTATCCTTTCCCTTCTTTATCATATTGGTTTGTGAATTAACTAACATGTAAGGTGAGAAATATTTCATTCCCAAGTTTTTTTTTTTTTCATTTTCTACATTTTGCCTATCTAAATTCATATTTAATTTCATGAAAATTCATATTCACATTTATGAATATATTTTCTCTTCTTTATCATATTAGTTTGTGAATTAACTAACATGTAACGAAAAAAGTACATGAAAGGTAAGAAATATTTCATTCTCAAGTCTCTTTTTATTTTTATGTATTTGGATATGCTTTCTTAATATTTTATTTATGTATGTATTATTATTCTCCAAGCAAGTATGATTAAAAAAAACTTTGTAATAATGAACAATGTGTTGTTAGTATGTGATTGTTAATTCTCTTTAATAGTCAATTTGTTGAATATAATGTAGTTTGATTACAATATGTGTGAGATTTCAAGAGATGATTATTATTTATTGTTAACACAATATATTGAAAAAATCATTTACAAATATATTACATATAGTTTAGATTTATTTCTTTATTTTGGTATAATCACTTTCAATTGGTATGATATTTTATTTATTCATAATTATATTTTTTTTATTCAATTGGTAGCATATAATGAAGAGGTTGACATATGGAGTACATAATATGATGACAGATCTACTTACAAAGGAAGATAGTAGAAGAAAAGCAATTTTTGAAACATAATTAGGGATTATTTTTTGTTAGAAATTTTTTTGCTACTTTGACTTGTATTGGTAAGGTAGCTACTTTTGCTAGATTTTTTAAACTTTAGTTTGTATAAGTAAATTAACTACATGTATTGGCAATGCTACTCATTTGGTTCTTTACTATTCTATTTTTTTTTTTGTTATGAAGCACAATTAATATAACTATCTCATTTAAAAAATAAATAAATAATGATGATAATGAACTTCATTTTTATTATGCTTGCAAGAAAATAATTAAAATAAAAATATTAAATTCTATGATGTCTTTTTTTTTATGTAACAATCTGTTTTTGTCACTATTCTTTTTTGTTTGAAATGTATTCATATTTTTTATTCAGTCACCAATCATTTTATTTTTTTGTTCATTATTGTAGTTCTATCACTTATTTTCACATTTATTTATTTATTATTTATTTATTTATTTATTTTTACAAATAAAATTAATACATGATTATTAATGCAATTAATGTCTAATAAAATTCATAACTCATGTCTCTTCATTTTACTTGTAACTTCTACTCTTAAATATTGTTATAACTTTTTCATGTTTCTTTTTCACAATTTTTATTAATATTTTAATTAATGTTTAAAAAATAAAAAAATTAATAATAAAGACATAATGAAGAACTTCAAAAGTTTTTTTACAAAATCAGAATTCGTATAGAGGATCGTAAAAATATGTATACAATATATTGTTATTTCAAAATATGATCTCTATTTCATTTATTTCACCATGGTAAATAATTTATTCTACTATATACATAAGAACAGTTTGCACTTAAAGGATATAAAAAAATCAATTTTATATATTTAAAAAAGATGAAAAATGTATCATATCGCATATGAAGAGAATATCAATATTGTTTATATATCTGATACTAACATGAATATAATTATTATATATTATTTTCCAATAAATATTTCTTATAACCGCGTGTAGCGCGGACAATTTCCCTAGTATAGTCATAAAGTGGAAAATGTGAAAAATGAAGTGGGACCACATATAAGTGGAATAATGAGCAGAAACTATAAAAAGGCAATAGACTATGGTCACCTAAATTATTGTACCTAACCGATCTACTACAACTAGTTACTTGGAAAATAATAATAGTAGTATGTTTGGTTATATTTATTATTTGCCAAAATAATTTTGGAGAGTAGTCGTTTGTATTTGATTTTTTTTTTTTTAAATACTTTTATAAATACTAGAATAACAATTTCTGCTTGCTTAAGGTTCCATAAGTGCTTTTGGAGAAAAACTATTTCTTTCCTATTATTCAGAAGAACTTATTTTCTTCTTAAAAATTGGCTAAACGATCTTAACTCTCTAAAATAAGCACGTTTCTCTAGAAAAATAGAACTCTTTTAGCTTTCAAAAAGGCGAAATGATCTGATGGACCCCTATACTTGTATGAGTTTGTTTGTATTATGTGCCCTTCTACTTAACTCTTTATCAATTGAATCCTTAAACTCATTAAAACACAATATATCGAACTCCTCTGACAGTCTGACTATTGACCATACTTATGTGGCATTAAAATAGATGAGCTGGTGACAGAGTAACCACACTCATGTAAAGGCAAGTGAATAACATATTTAAATTTAAAAAATATAAAATAATTTTTTTTTATAAAAAAAAAAAAAAAGTCATCTTATCCCCTCACCTCACCTTCTTCAGTCATCCCCCACCCCAACCCCCTCTTTCTGGCTTCAGCTAAGGCTCACCCATCTTTGCCTCAACTTCCTTTTTCAATCACCCCACCCTATCAGTAGACCCAATCCTTTTTTTTTTTCATTTTTTCGTTTCCATTTTAGTTTCATCATATATACCACTATTAAAGAATAGAATTTTCAAATACAAAAGGCTTACAAAGGAAGGAAAAGAAAAGGAAACAAAGGAAGATTAATTTTGATCTAATTTAAGATTCAAGATTTTTATTTTTGATAACCATCTATTTTTTTTTATTTTTTTTTGTATAATTAAAGACAAGTTTAAATGGAAGAAAAAGAGACTAAGAGGGTGGAGGTGATGGTGGTGATGTTGGTTGTTTGTCGAGAGAGGTGGACGGAAGTTGGAGGAAGGTGATAGAAATAAGAATTTTACTTTAAAGAATTATCTTTTATTTAATATTTTGATTAATAATTTTTAAATATAGTTAATAAAGATAATTATGACGTGTTATTAATTTATGTGAAATGGATTTGACATGTCATCTATTTGAGGGAGAGTAGGCTACACACATAATAGGAGGGGTTTAAAAATTATCTTTTAATTAAGTTTAAGGGTTTAGTTGGTAAAGTGTTAAGTAAAAAGATCCACAATACAAACGCATGCAAGTATAGGGGTCCATTAGATCATTTCGCCTTTAAAAAATGTTAGTCAAACAACGTACTTATGACGCACACCTAACCAGTCGTAACATGTTAAATTTAACTGATAATGTAAAAACAAATTAGGGATTAAGTGAGTACTAATTAGGTGGGAGTGTCTGAAATCTCGATGCTCAATCCTCATGTGTGTAATTTACTACTGTATTAATTAACATATTAATTGTGGGTTTTTTTCCCCGCAAATTTACCACTAGACAGTGTCTAGTGGCCTTTTATTAAACATAAAAAATATCAATAGGAATAAGTGCAAGCAAGGGGGGCTAGGCCTTACCTTACTAATCCTAATGAAGTACCTAAGTCTACTACCTAACAAGCATGAAGAAAATAAGAGCTAAAGAGAACTAAGTATTTTCTGATCACCACAGAGTTTGTAATACACTCCATGATGAAATTACAAATGAGGATGCTTAAATAATGTAAAAATATGTCAATCAAGAAGAAAGTTGAGTTATCATCAAGAAGAAATGTCCTCAGTCCTAATTACTTGTCTATTTTTGAATTAACACACTTATTAAGAAAATAATGATTGACATAGTGAGTTTACAATTTTACCCCTATTAATTATGAAGTGGATGAATTAAAAATTTAAGATTTTCAAGAAGTTCTACCTTTTTCAAAGTAATTAATTAAGCGTATAATAGGTAAAAAAATTATCCTTTCTTGATTTGTCAAGAAGGACAAGTAAAACGGTACAAGTAAAAAAGAAAAATAATTGTAATACTTAGTGAAATCATTAAATTGCTCAAATTAGTTATTTGCGAAGCACTAGCTTGCTGAGATATTTTCTTGATCAATCTTGAGACTTCATCTTTGCGAATTGAACTAAA